GTCTGACACTTTGACTCGGTTATCACTGCCAACCAGAATATTACGAGCTGCAAGGTCACGATGAATGAAGCCTTTCTCTGCGAGATGATTCTAAAAAATCATGAACGAATTAAAAGAGCACAATTTATTTATAGAAATAATGATTATGATACTTTTTTTCGTTTTTGTAAGCCATGTATTCAATCTTATTAAGGGTGTTTGAAATTACCACTAAACGAGGCACGCAAGACCCATCTCGGACATTCAGATAATTTGTTTAGAAAACTTTTCTTAGGTCGAGAGTCACTATTAGAAAGTATCTTTACATTTCATCTCATTTCGAAATAGCTATATTAATACCTACCATTCCCTTTGCTATTTGCCAAGCAAAGGAAAACAGCTTTTGAGTAGTAAAGCTGTCTTCTTCTTCGTCGTCATCATCATCAATATTTTCAGTCGATATAAATATGGCGGCAGCGTTCCTGTTTCCCTGTGATGTCGATGGAATCGGCAGCAGTTCCATTCCTTCCTGATCCAGGAAGTCGTCTTCTTCGTTGTCGTCATCATCATCACTTTCACTTGATTTCAATATGGCGGAAGCGTTGCTGCTTCCCTTTGACGTCGATGGTATCGGCAGCAGTTCTATTTTTGGCTGAAACAGAAAACCACCATTGTTTTCTTCCTCTTCGTCGTCGTCATCATCATCATCATCATCATCATCATCATCAATATTTTCAATTGATATCAGTATGGCGGAAGCGTTGCTGTTTTCCTGTGATGTCCATGGCATCGGCAGCAGTTCCATTCCTTCCTGATCCAGGAAGTCGTCTTCGTTTTCGTCATCATCAATACTTTCACTTGATATCAATATGGCGACAGCGTTGCTGTTTTCTTTTGATATCGATGGTATCGGGATCAATACGATGTTTTCCTGAGGAAGTAAATCGTTGCTTTTTTCCTGAATAAAGAAGGCAAGAAAAAAAGAAAATAACCTAAAAAGTAATGATAGTAAACTAAGCGTGTGTAAATTATTTCGTTATTCATATTTTGGGAAGGGAGGGCAGGATAGAAATTGGGGTGCTTGTTTCAAACATAATGTAGCGTAAGAAAAAAGCTAAACTTGGTTAGTTTTCCTTATATCGATTGTAAAACATTTGTAGCAATATGTCGAAGTTGCGCTGCTGTTCAATTGTTTTTTGTTTTTTTTTTTCTCAGTTTTGATTTTGGTTTCAATGCAAAATCTCTCTCTTCTTAAAAACAAAAACAAAAAATAGGAGGAGTGATACCCGAAAGGCGGGAGACATTTTAAAACCTTACATTCCGTCAAGAGGTCAGAGCTGAAAAGTTACATCGGACTAGATTAGTGGGGGGAGGGGAGGGTGAGGTAAAGCGAAAGTTCAAAGACTGGGTAAATTTTTGTGAGAGTAGAGGGGGATAGCTCCTTTATCTCCGGAATTTAAAGAACCATCTAAAGGCTCTAGTTCGTCCTTTTATGGGATGTCCTTGGCTATTTATCCATACTCCCATCCTGCTATTTAAATGCAGTTAAACTGATCACGTTTTAATATTTTTTATATCTGTCAACTTTTCTTTTCACGTGGAATGAAATACTCTTTTAAACTTTCCTATTGAAATTTTGACGTCGGGGCTAAACCGTTTTTCCAAAACAAATTTGAAGAGGATATTTGGCTAATAGCATTGTAACGACAAATTGGAGATTAATGATAATATATTCTTAAGTGGTATTCAAGCTGTTTCTTACCTGAGAAAGCTGTCCAGAGGACATGGCGATTTCTTTGTTAACTTGTAAACCACCAAGAATTGCCAAGGCCCGATTTTCATCCTGAAGGTCTTGTTCTCCCTGATAAATATGCATTAAATGTTAAATATTTTAACTCTTATTGATATTTTCATTCACTCGCCGATTCGTCAGTTCGTTCATTTAATCCATTCAATCATTTGTCCGTCCGTCCGTCCGTCCTTCCCTCATTCCTTCCTTCCTTCCGTCCGTCCTTCCTTCCTTTTTCTGTCCGTCTGTCCTTCCTTCCTTTTTTCCGTCTGACCGTCCGTCCGTCCGTCCGTCAGCCTGTCTGTCCTTTCTTCCTTCCTTCCTTCCGTCCGTCCGTCTGTCCTCCCTCCCTCCCTTCCTTCCTTCCTTCCCCCCTTCCTCCCTTTCTTCCTTCCTTCCTTCCTTTTTTCTGTCCGTCCTTCCTTCTGTCCGTCCGTCCCTCTGTCCTTCCTTCCTTCCTTCCTTTTTTCTGTCCGTTCATCCTTCCTTCCTTCCTTCCTTTTTTCTGTCTGCCCCTCTGTCCTTCCTTCCTTTTTTCTCTCCAGCCTTCCTTCCTTCCTTCCTTCCGTCCGTCCTTCCTCCCTCTCTCCCTTCCTTCCTTCCTTCCCCCCTTCCTCCATTCCTTCCTTTTTTCTGTCCGTCCGTCCTTCCTCCCTCCCTCCCTTCCTTCCTTCCTTCCTTCCTTCCTTCCTTTTTACTGTCCGCCCTTCCTTCCTTCCTTTTTTCTGTCCGGCCTTCCTTCCTTCCTTTTTTCTGTCCGTCTGTCCTTCCTCCCTCCCATCCTTCCTTCCTTCCTTCCTTTTTTCTGTCTGCCCCTCTGTCCTTCCTTCCTTTTTTCTCTCCAGCCTTCCTTCCTTCCTTCCTTCCGTCCGTCCGTCCTTCCTCCCTTCCTTCCTTCCTTCCTTCCTTCCTTCCTTTTTACTGTCCGCCCTTCCTTCCTTCCTTTTTTCTGTCCGGCCTTCCTTCCTTCCTTTCTTCCGTCCATCTGTCCTTCCTCCCTCCCTCCCTTCCTTCCTTCCTTCCTTCCCCCTTCCTCCCTCCCTTCCTTCCTTCCTTCCTTCCTTCCTTTTTACTGTCCGCCCTTCCTTCCTTCCTTTTTTCTGTCCGGCCTTCCTTCCTTCCTTTCTTCCATTCGTCCGTCCGTCCATCCTTCCTCCCTCCCTCCCTTCCTTCCTTCCTTTTTTCTGTCCGTCCTTCCTTCCGTCCATCCGTCTGTCCGTCCGTCCTTCCTTCCTTCCTTTTTTCTGTCCGTCCGTCCTTCCTTCCCTTTTCTGTCCGTCCTTCCTTCCTTCCTTCCGTCCGTCCGTCCTTCCTCCCTCCCTTCCTTCCTTCCTTCCTTCCTTCCTTTTTACTGTCCGCCCTTCCTTCCTTCCTTTTTTCTGTCCGGCCTTCCTTCCTTCCTTTCTTCCATTCGTCCGTCCGTCCGTCCGTCCTTCCTCCCTCCCTCCCTCCCTTCCTTCCTTCCTTCCTTCCCCCCTTCCTGCCTTCCTTCCTTCCTTCCTTTTTTCTGTCCGTCCTTCCTTCCGTCCGTCCGTCTGTCCGTTCTTCCTTCCTTCCTTTCTTCCATTCGTCCGTCCGTCTGTCCTTCCTCCCTCCCTCCCTTCCTTCCTTCCTTCCTCTTTCTGTCCATCCTTCTTTTCTTCCTTCCGTCCGTCCGTCCGTCCTTCCTCCCTCCCTCCCTTCCTTCCTTCCTTCCTTTTTACTGTCCGCCCTTCCTTCCTTCCTTTTTTCTGTTCGTCCTTCCTTCCTCCCTTCGTTCATTCCTTCCTTCCTCCCTCCCTCCCTCCCTTCCTTCCTTCCCTCCTTCCTTCCTTCCCTCCTTCCTTCTTTCCTTCCTTCCTTCCTCCAACCCTGCACCACCAATTCTCCTAATAACCCCTGCTCACCAATCAATACACCCTGGCAGTAGCTATGTGACATATCAATTGAAAGGTTATTTTCTTTTAAAGCCTAAAATATTTGACTGCAGATACACTAAATACACTATACAACATTCCCCTTTCCTCGAGTTACATACTGGTGAAGTCAAAGGCCTCAGAACATTTCGTCGCCACTCCATCACACCACTCACGTTCCTGATGCCCTAAACAGATCTGATTACAATAGCGTTTAATGTAAGGCACCTACTTGTTCACATTCGCTCACTTCTTTTAGAGCACTGAATATGTCCTTTTCTTCATAAAATTTCTTCTCCTCGTTACCATCAGTGCCTTGGTTTCGATTGATCTAGAGTACAATGAACACGATTACGTCACAAATAACTAGCACGATTGGTCTAAACGTGGAAGTAATTAAGTTTCAAGATGAGAGCTGAACATTATCGACTGGATATTATTTAGAACCCAACACAGCCTACTTGGGAGACATCTAGCCACTGAAAATCCTATAGCTGCTGCAGGTTAAACTGTGAGCTTTGGTAGATTTGCACGAGCCCCATATAATTAGCACGAACTGTCTCGTGAAGGACTACACCACTGCCTTACCGTTAAATCCATTACTACCAAACACTTAAGGCAACATCAAATTGATTAAATATTCCTTTGGAAAGCGTCTTACCGATCGTCTCCTGCATCGCAACCACTGCAACAGATCACCAAACGGAACGTACTCTATCACCAGGAACTTGTGCTCCTGCAAAGTGCAACAACCAACCAGGGATACAATATTCTGGTGTGCACCCAACAGCTTCATCTGCTCTATCTCCTGCAAGAACTCTTCTTTTTGTTCTTTGCTCGGATCATCTAAACACAAATGATGTAGTTAAATTCCTATTTGCTACGAACAGAAGATTTTAAAACCAGATTCAAAAATCAATTGGCCATATATTAGGCTTTGCTTCAGTCACGGTCTAAGTACATTCCGACGGGAAATTCAATTGCGTTTCATGCTCAGGACTATCTGCTGTCCAATTTAGGAATAATGGGACATGAAATGAAAATAAAAACAGGGGACAGATGATTAGTTTTAATCATATTCACACTATAAAGAGAAATGGCTCAGCTTTGTCATTCGTAATATCACCTTAAGCTTTAGACTGGAGAGACACAGCTTAGGATCTGATTGCAAAAGACCAAGCACGATCACCGAGAATTTAAATCTCTTTCAGGTGTATTTTAAAGACACTGGACCTACCCAAGTTGTGTAACGATTCGCCCTTTTCTACATGATTTTGCATGATGATTGCAATTACCTTGCAGTTCTTTGACTGCAACCACCTGGCATGGTGCCTCGGGCTTCAGTGTCTTTCCAGTCTCAAACACTTCTATTCCAACTCGTCTCTTTAGAGTTGCTTTGTAAACCACACCAAACGCTCCTCGGCCCAGCTCTTCCTGATATTCTATTTGCTCGGGAAGAAGTTCCCACTTGTCTAGTGGGATAATTTTGCGAGCTGAACGAGCTGATCTGTGGAACGATGTGAAAATAGTTTAAGCACAAAAAGAGTCGTTATCAAGTAGTATAGCGCAGTATGCTATTATTTTAGTGAAATCTTGCTGTTTAAAAGATTAATGTCTTAGAGCTTCGTGATGAAACCCAGCCATTCTGCCTGTAAGTTCCAAATTCGATACCACGTTTTCTAATAGTAAAGACTGCAATTAGGCATATACCATTGAAGCTGTCCCGGCTTCCGATCGAGAGGTATTGTTATTTCCTCTACATGACATGCTAGTCCATTGCAGGCTACCTTTGCACGTTTCCTCAGGTTGACCTGGCACTTTGGCATCATCCATTTTATAATACCCCGAGCTTGGGAGATTCCCAATTATATTTCTTACTCAGGAACACAAAACAGAAACCCCAGCCAAAGCACCAACCTGGACCGCTAGCAGATTCCGAGTCCAACGCGCAAAGTTCGTTGAGGTGCAGCACGAAAAATGGCGAGCAAAAGAAGTAGAGAGGGGCCTGGTGCGAGGAGAAAAAGATTGTTCTCTGGCTTTCCCGTACCACACTCCTCTCATTTTTTCTCTCTCTATTTCTCCCACTGCTCCCTAACTAACCAGGGGATCAGTGCCTCTCCCATCATTTTACCAAACCATTTCACATCCGCTTTCTTGTCTGAACATCACATTTCAAGGTTAAACTATGTTCGTCCTGTCGTACGGATATGTTATATGTAGGGTCAATTTATAATAGTAAGGTTTTCTTTGCTATTTAGGTGAATAAATTTAGGCAAACAAAGAGGCAAGGTCTCCACTGCGTGTCAAAACAGTGTGCCTGCTGAGAATGGAACCGGGTGTAACTAACTTATACATAGAGCTTTTAGCTGTAAAATGGTAAAACATTCAGAATCTCTCCTGTTGATTGTCCCAGTTTTGCAATAACCAATTTATTTACTATGTTTCATCGTAAGTACTACCAATAATAGTGAATAACCTTTTGATTCGCGTGTGATGAGACCGTCTGTAGCACCAGAAACCAAGAATAAAACATAGCACCAACAACAGAATGAACGTGATACCAGATACGATGTAAATCATCCTCTCATTGAAGATCGCGGTTTCTTGTGTTGGTTGACCAGAATTCCTCTTCGTAGGCCCTGCAAAAGATAATAAATTTATATCTTAAGGAGGCTGGGAGTTTAAGTAATGTTTGAGGACTACGTTGGAAATAACTGGATGATCAACATTCTGAAGGCTGCCAAATTTGGATGAAGTCATAACTCCAATTTGTAAAATTGAATTTTTTTTTA